GAGGACATGCATGGCTCAAGGGCCTCCACCCACCCTGGTGCTCTTCGGGCCCCCAGGCCTTGCCACAGGGAATGACATCCCAGTCCCCGCCCCTCCTGGCTCCCCCGTGCAGAGCTCTGGCAGGAGTGTCTGATTGGCTGTGCTTGGGTCACGTGACACCCTCCTGCTTCCTTCCTTCAAGGCTTCATTACTGGCAGGTGGAGAGGCTGCTTTCCTTCTATCTAGGGCATACCCCCCACCACTCCCCGACTCCCAGTACAGAAAGTTCAGAAGAGTTTTGAGGTGAGAGGAAGCCAAAATGACAAATGTCCTTTCCTTTGGGGACCTCAGTTGGGTGTTTCTTAAGTTCTCTCATATCCCCAAGATTCTCTGGATCTGCTCTTCAGGAGAGCTGCTGTTTTTCTGGTACCGTGGCTGATAGAACGTGGAACAGAGCTCTATACCAATTAGGCTTCCAGTGTTTTTCAGTGACTGTGTAATGAGTATGTTAGCCTTTGGCACAAAAGAAAATAAAGGTGCACACTCGTTTGTAACATCTAGCTTTCTGATTCAGGACAGGCTATTTCAGCGACTGAGCTCCTTCTGTTTATTGGGAAAACAGTTGATATTTGTCATTCCTTCTAGCAATAGGAAGAAGAAAAGCATTTAAACATTTAAATGTTTCTGTGTATATATTTTAAGTACTTAGTGGTTCTATTGCAGTGAGCTGGTTATGTAGAGCTGTTAGGACGAACCTCATTTTTGATGTCCTCTGCGTCCTTCTCCACACACTGGTTCCTTTACCTGATTCCAGCAACGTGATCCGGATTCCTGGTTTCTCCTTCCCCACCTCATCCCCCGACTCAGTTTCCAAGTACTGTTGGCTTTTCATCACTTGAGGCTCTCTCTGTAGCACCCATCCTCCCCCACGTCTTGCCAGCCCATCCCACCCCACACCTAGATCAGGTCTCCCCCCTGCCCATCTTGCCTACTTGATCTTTTCAACAAGAAGCTTTAGTTTTCTCTCCCAAGGTGCTTCTTAAAGGCACAGTGAGGGCTTCTTAAGGGCTTCCTGTTCTTATCAGTATAGTAGAGCTGTTAAAAGGGCTCTGGGGTCAAGTTCAGATCCCAGCTCTGCTGTTTGGTGCCTGTGTTAGTGAGAGGTGTAGCCAGATGTAATTAACAAAATCAACTCTCAGTGACTTAACCAAGTAGGAGTGAATTTCTCCCCCATGACAGCAAGTCTGGCGAGAGGCTGCAGTCACAGCCACAGCACATCACGGCCTCAGGGACCCAGTGCTTTCTCTCCTGCTTAGCCATTCTACAGAGTGGGTTCCATCCTCATGCTCCCACCATTACTGGCGTCCCCACCTCCAGCACCAAATGTGTGTCCTGGGTGGGAGGGCCAGGGCTGAGGGCAGGTGTGTGCCAGCTGAGACCGTCCTCCTCTCAGACACCCCTGCTGAAGGCTCGCCCAGCGCCTTCTGCTGACATCACATCGCCCACAGTGAAGTTACATGTCCACAGATTTGGGCTAAGCACATTGCCAGTGTGATCAAAATGAGGCTCCAAGTGTTCGTCTTGCATGGGATCTACAGATGCCTGTCCTGTACCATCACTAGGCATATAGGTGGTACGTGTTAAATGCTAACTACTTCACTTTTTAATATATTTCTGTTAGGGCAGGTTTCCCCAGTAAACCAGCTAGCATACAATTTGAGGGAACCTTCTAGGTAAATACCATCCCAAATCCTCTCCTACCTCCTCAATCCACCTTCATCATTTCCTACAGTCTGTCACCTTCTCTGTGGCTCCTATGTCCCCCAGCCCCCTGCCCCTCCCTGTGTGTCTGTCCATTAATCCTGAGACTTCCATTTTCACTCCTTGCCCGGGGCCGGCCACAGAGCATCATGGGGAGAACTGGCAGCCCCGTGCTGCAGACACCAGTGCCCGACACCCCAGTCCCCAAGGTGACCCTGATGTCTGCATTCTGTCCCCTGAGGGAGTTGTTGTTTAAAGCTTTTCTAAAAACCCCCAGCTCTATTCCGTTTCTCTGCTGCTACCTCCACTTCATCCCATCTTTGCCGGGAAGACAGTGGCTGGGTTGGACATCTAGGACAGGACTCTTCTCTTCATCTTCTAGAGCCTTCTGAAGAGAAGGCCTTCCACCGGGGGCCTTTTCTGCTCCTTCGTCTCAGGTTGCCTCCATGGTAAGTCTCTGATCTTCCTTGCACAGGCGTGTGCTTCACCACTCACCCTTCTTTCCTCTGCTCCTCAGGGGGCGCCCTCCAGTGCACCCCAGAACTGCGCTCCCAGAGCTGGGCCACCCACTGCCTGGTCCGGGACCTCTGGGCCTCCAGCGCCCTGACCCTCTCATCATCTCCACCCTGAAACCCCACCTGCGTCTCCTTTCCTGGCCCTGAAGTTGAGATGCTTCCTGAGGTCCCGCCTCAGCTGCCCTCCCTGCGAGCACTCCTCTCACATCCTCCAACGTCTTCCAAGGGTGTCAGCTGTTTTCTCGAATGTACTTTTTCCCCAGTTATTTTTCTTGTGGTAAAATACATATCTCACCACCTTCACCGTTTTCAAGTGTGCAGTTCGATGACCTTGAAGACCCCCTCAGTGTGGTGCAGTCCTCAGCACCGTCCATCCCCAGAATGCTTTCCATCTTGTAAAGCTGGAACTCTGTCCCCATGAAACGCTTACTCCCCCGCCCAGGCACCGCCCCCCCCAAATCCTGCTGTCTGTCTCTTGATTTTGACTGCTCTAAGTACCTCATACAAGTGGAATCACAACATTTGTCTTTTTGTGACTGACTTACTTCACTGAGCATCACCTACTCAAGGTCTGTCCATGTTGTAGCCTATGTCAGAATTTCCTTCCTTTTCAATTTAAGGCTAGATAGGGGTGCCTGGGTGGCTCAGCTGGTCAAACGTCTGACTCTTGGTTTTGGCTCAGGTCATGATCTTGGGGTCCTGGGATCGAGCCTTGCATCATGCCCACCGCTCAGTGGGGAATGTGCTTGTGTCCCCTTGCCCCACTCGCGTGTGTTCTCTTTCTCTCTCTAAAATAAATGAATCAATCTTTAAAAAAATAAATAAGTCGATTTAAGGCTAGATAATATTCTATTGTGTGTTAACATCACAATTTGTATATCTGTTTATCCTTTGATGGACACTTAGGTCCCTTCCATGTGTTAGCTGCTATGAATAATGCAGCTACAAATACCGATACACAGATCCCTGTTTGGGCCCCTGCTTTGCATTCTTTGGGGTCTGTCTTTATGCCAGTACCATGCTGTTTTGATTGTTGTAGCTTTGTAGTAAGCTCTGGAATGAGGAAGTGTGAGTCCTCCAGCTCTGTTCTTTTTGAAGATTATTTTGGCCATTTGGAGTTCCTTGAGATTCTGTGAACTTTAGGACAGGTTTTTCTATTTCTGTTAAAAAAAAAAAAATATATATATATATATATATATATATATATATATATGCCATTGGGATTTTGATAGGGATTGATTGTGTTGAATACATAGACCTCTTTGAGTAGTACTGATGTGTTTCCATTTATTTATGCCTTTACTTTCTCTCAGCTAAAGGTATGTCTTTTGTTAGATCTTCTCTGAAGTCCCCAGATTGTCTCTAATTATCTCTAGTAAGTCACCCACTTGACACCTCAAGCCCACCATGTTCCTTACCAAGCTCATTAATTTAAAAAATCCTTTCTTCCGCATTCTCCTTTTATTCTAAAAATTTTCTCTTTCGGGTGCCTGGGTGGTTCAGTTGGTTAAGAGACTGCCTTCAGCTCAGATCATGATCTTGGAGTCCCTGGATCAAGTCCCACATCAGGCTCCCTGCTCAGCAGGGAGTCTACTTTTCCCCCTGACCTCTCTCCTCTCATGCTCTCTCTTTCTCATTCTCTCTCTCTCAAATAAATAAATAAAATCTTTAAAAAAAATTTCTCTTTCTCATAAACACACACATACGTACACGTGCATACACAAGGGTCTTTTCTGCCAGGAGTTTGGTCCTAGAGACTTTGGAGGCCTCCTTCAGTCCCTACACCTCACCAGCTACCCCTTCCTTGGGTGGCCTGTCTTTGCTGCTTCTAACTCAGATACATTTCTTGGTTCTTGGGTCCCTGGACCATTCTATGCACCTTATTCCTGGTGTGTCTCCATTCTGATAGCACAGCCCTCCCCTGGCCATGCAATGAACTTCCTAAGCTCTGATGTGATCATCAGCACTCTGTGCCGAAGCCAGAAGCTCCTCACTGACAGAGAGGGAGTGTGTTTGTGGATTACCGTCCCCCACCCCCGGCATGGAGGGGACAGATAAGTCAGGATTTCTGCCCTTGGCTGTTCCTCATGGTGGGATATGATTGGACTGGGGCAGGAAGAGTGAGGACAGTGACATTAATGTACAGTTAAAAGCTTGAGTTACACAGAGGAAAGAGCACCAAAGCTGGGATGGAGGAGGGAGATGGGATATCCTTGAAACGGAGCTGCCATGTCAGACTCAGTGACGTGGGCCCAGCTCACACACCGCTTGCAGCCTGATTCCACCCATTCCTGCCCTTGTGCCCTAAGCTAGGTTCATACTGGACCACCTGCCGTCCTCAAGTCAGAGCGTACCCCGTCACCTCCACGTGTCTGTTCATAACCCCCTCTTCTAAATCATAGCTGCATTTTCTTTTTCTTTCTCATTAATCAAGGCCCAGCTCAAGGAGCATTTTTCCAGGATGCCATTTCTGAATCCTGTGATTACTTGGGGCACTTGTCCCTCTAGGCCTTGTGTTTGAGTTGTTTGTATCCCTGCCTCCTTCTTTGTCCTGGATGAGAAACCACATGAGACCCAGGATTATGTTCTAGTCAACTGTGGATGGTCCTGGAAGATTCTGTTTTAAGCTTCCAAGGGAATGCTTAGGTTTTGTAAGACTTAATGTGCAGAGACGCAAACCCATACTCATCCACTTGTGACCCTGGCGGTTCTCAGATGTCTGCCTTTGTTCTTCTCTCCCACCAGTGCTTGGAAAGAGCCATGAAGTTTGCCTTCGAGGAGTTCCAGCTCTGGTACCAGTTTGCTCTGTCTCTCATGGCTGCGGGAAAAGTGAGTCGCCCCCTGGGAAGCGCCATCCTCCCTGTCCGTGTTCACGTCCCGGAATTCCAAGGGGTGATATGAGGCCTTGGAGAAGTCTAAACCAGCTATCGGAAGCTGTCCTGTGGTCATTTACAAAAGAGTGATCAAATTTAGTGATTTGGGAGCCAGCATGGACATGCCATAGAGAAGAAAAAAATCAGACCTATTTGCCTTTTTCTGGCCCTGGTAACTTTGTCTTATGAAGACAGGCTTAAACCAAGGCTGGTTCTTCATACAGACCCTTTCACTTATTTGAGAGCATAAATGTATTCCCGGAGGAGGAGGCCATTAGTGATCATTAGCAACATATCACATCAGGTAGCATATGATACTGGTTGGAAGCCCACGCTCTGGAGTCCAACTACTGGAGTTTTGGCCTTGACCTAGGCCAGGTCACTGGCCTCCAGGTCCTCTCGGCAAAGTGGAGACATCCCAGCACCTCCCTCATAGAACCATTCTAGGTAAATGAGGTAATACACATAACATGCGAGGAAAAGGGTCCCCCACGTAGTACACACGCAATTAAGGGAGGAGCCATTGTACTTCTTGTTAATTCGGACCATTTAGTGACTTATTAAGTCTGAGGTAGGAGATTATTTGGGCCAAGTGGAGGCAGAAATTTAGTATAGAGTGCTCTAAAATTATATAGTCTATGTTTCATAGTAACTTAAGCCTTCCCTGTCTTTTTTTTTTTCTTCTGATTTTTACAATGGCTACACAAGTAAGGAAGAAAATGAGGGTGATTCCAGGGAAGCACCTCTGCTTGTTCTAACCACAGTTCACTCCCCAGTCCCTCAAGAGCCCCATGCCCTGGTTGTCGCCATCCTCAGCTTGGGCTCAAGGTTGAAAAACCTCATTAACAGGTTTCCTAACCAGAACCCCTCAGGGAAGGCCTTAGTGTTTGGTTCCATCAAAAACTTCTGAGTTTCACCGAAATAATCTCCTTTTGCCAAGTCTGCACGGGCCGTGAAGGTGCTGAAAGAGTGTATCCGTCTGAAGCCCGATGACGCCACCATCCCGCTCCTCGCCGCAAAGTTGTGCATGGGCTCCCTTCACTGGGTGAGTAGGGCTAGGGCCCTGCGCTCACAGGCAGGACTGCCAGCCTTTCCCACCTCAAGGCACTGGGAGAAAATAGCAATCATTCAGCTACATAAAAACAAGGCTGGGGCGCCTGGGTGGCTCAGTGGGTTAGAGCCTCTGCCTTCGGCTCAGGTCATGATCTCAGGGTCCTGGGATCAAGCCCCGCATCGGGCTCTCTGCTCAGCAGGGAGCCTGCTTCCTCCTCTCTCTCTCTGTCTGCCTCTCTGCCTACTTGTGATCTGTCTGTCAAATAAATAAATAAATTAAAATCTTTAAAAAAAAAACAAAACAAGGCTGTTCAGAGGCAAGGCCCCCAGACCCCCTCAGCCCTCCCCAACCCACCCTAGGACTGACGGGAATCATGTTCCTGGGATCCCCATGGGAATGTGCTTCAAAAGTTGAATTGATAAAGTAGAATTGGAATTCACACTCACGTAAGTCTTGCTGTAGACGCAGGGGGTGCGGGACTGAAAAGGTTTAGGTCACCAAATGATTCACTCTTAGCAAGGCTGAGTTCTTCTATAAAGCAGTCACCCGCTCCTTCAGCTCCTGTGTAAACCAACCATGCTCATTCCTCTTCCTTCATGTAGGCTTTCCTCTTCAGATAGTCTTGTTCAGATACGAACTGGGGGCTAGTCTTGTTTGTAACAGTTCCAGTACCTCAGAAATGCACCATTGAAGAAGAAAATAGAAAAGCCTCCACTAACCGCTGAGGTGGTGGTACACATAATTACCACATGCGATCCAGTTTTAATTTCTTTTCTTTAACTTCACATCAAGATTAATTACAAGGAGAAAAAAAAAGATTAATTACAAGAAGAATTTGCTCAAAAGACCGCAGTGCCTTGCTAAGGGTCTTCACCATTACGGTCCTTGCTGCCTGTTTTTTTTCCACTTTTCCTCACCCAGCAAGACAAAAGTAAGCCTTGTGAGAAAGTGTTCTACTTCTGCTCAGTTGGACTGGGAGAAATGTAGAAGGAAAAAGACATTTTGAAAGAGCAGGTTCTCACCTGACTCTCAGAGCTGTGAAGGTGTCGTGTGGTCTGTGCAGGATTCGAACATTTGGTGCCACTGGCGAGGGAACAATGCAGGCGGGCTCCAGCCGCAGGCCGGGGAGCGGGCCAGACCCTGCAGCTTTGAAAATGCCAGTTTCCAGCCATGAACTTTGTCGCGCCCCTTCCAGCTATGGCATTATTCATGACTGTCACATAGATCTCTCTGAGACCAAAAATAAACAGACTCCTTTTTTTTTTTTTTAAAGATGAGCCTAACAGATTTTTTCTGTTTATCTATTTTACATTTTTATTATTAAAATTTCCAAACTCTACCAAAGTAAAGAGTATATAACGAACTCCCGGATACTCTCACCCAGCTTCAGGGACCTTAATGTTGGCCATATTTTGAAGGAATGAATCTTATTATTTTGGCTTCTAATGAATTATGCGGAAGGTCTTATTGTGGATGTAGTTTACAGGTGCACATTTTCTCATTGGAATCTGCTGGCACGAGGTCCATGTGATGTGCATTGTAAAATAAATAGACGGGAGTTCTGAACATGTTAACAGCTTGTAGGAAAAAGAATCCAAGCCTAAATATATTCTTTTTGTCGTTTAAAAAAAAAAGGAAGGACCCAGACACAAAATTTTCAAGGACTTTATTTTAAATATATATAAAATTCACTGAATACCTAACACAAAATCAATTAGTAAAAAAATAGAGATAAAAAAGATAGGAACCCCCCCACCCCACCAAGATTGAAAATGACTTTGGAAAAGAAGGTAAAAAAGCAGTAAGGAAAACGTTAAAGAAAAAAGGCAAGGTGGGAACCCTGAGGACCGTCGGAGAGACTCAAATAAAGAAAACGGAATCGCCGCAGTGGAGTCAGAAGATTTGGGAGTGATTTTCACAGTGACTCATCAGAAATCTGTTTTTGGCAGCAGACGCTTATGGGAACTCATGTTAGAAATTCTGCAGGTCGTTGTTGTTTTTTAACTTGTCTGGTTTTTCAGTTGGAAGAGGCTGAGAAGTTTGCCAAAACTGTCGTAGATGCGGGAGAGAAAACGTCAGAGTTCAAGGCCAAAGGCTACTTAGCTCTGGGGCTCACGTACAGTCTGCAGGCCACTGACGGTGAGAGATGTCCCCCCTGCCCCCGCTGGGATCTGGGAGCTTAAGTCTGCACTGCAGGGTTCCCACAGTCCCCAGAGAGGACTGTCGCAGGAGGCCACGTATTTTGGGTCACTCAGGCATGCCATCATGTGGGAACCTGTGGCTGCTGTCCTTTCTGCTCAAACTGGCTGGAGAGTCAGCGGGCAGAGATGAAGGTCCTGGGGGCCAAGGTGCATGTGCTGGCGGTGCACAGTGCCCAACTTGGAGGTGCAGGGCATCTGCCATGAGGTGAAGGTGAGGGGGCCTTTGAGAGATGGTTCCCCCCACCCAGCCTGCACCTGCGTCCACCCCGGCACTTGGTGGGGCTGTCCCTACATGAGGAGATATAGGATCTCAGGCACTGGAATGTGGAAGAGTTTAGGGCCAGCCTCCTCCCAGCAGCTTCCCTTGATTGCTCAGGATGCCCCTTCTCTATGGGTACATTTAAATTCACAGATGTTTACACATGCTGTGTGGCAACTTACCAAACACCCATGCGGTGACATGCAGTTGGGATGTACATAGACCTTGCGGACTCTGGCTATTTTTTAAAAATCTTAATTATGCTTTGTATCCTTAATGAAGTTTTCCATTATGTGTTTGCAGGAAGTATAAATTGATTAATTATTTTCCTGAACTCTTAATATTTCTTCAGCATTTCATTGTTAAATATAATATGAATACAAAAAAATTTTCAAAAACCCATGTATAATTAATGAATTAGGATACAGCAAATATCTTTGTAATCTCCACCCTGCTCAGGAGGTGGAAGCCTGCCAGCCCCATGGGGAACTTTGCCTGTGCCCCCTGCCAGTCACAGGACTCCTAAGAGAAAATGCTCTCCTGATTTTTATAGTATTCATTTTCTTTTTCTTTTTTTTATGGTTTTGCTATAGTTAATTTTACAGATTACCCCAAAGCCTTCTTTCATCTGCCCTAAAATAATCCGAGAACTTAAAGAGGTTTCGCGTATCACTTGATTCTCAATAATGGCATTTTGGCTAATTTTTCATGTATACGTGGTACGCTAGCAAACACCTGCCAGCACCTTGCTTTAACTGTAGTAGACTTTCAGTGAAGCGGGAGTGTAATGCCCTGTGTTTATCCCTATCGATTCCAAGTTTGGACCCACCTCTCACGCGCCCTGTAGCTCAGTCTAGTTGATCCTCATTTGGCATTCGTGGCTCAGTAGGGTCACCTGAGTTTCCCTCTAGCTTCGTCCCTGTTATTCTGAGTTCGCTGTGGTGATAGCCACATCTGGCACTTGGGGACAGCTGTCCTCCGTTCCCAGTGCGGTGGCAGGAAGGGATCTGGCCCGCGATGATATTCAAGAGGGCCTCTTCAGTTCCACCCACAAGCAGTTCCTCCAGGACTTTTGCTCTCGCCCCAGTAAAAAGTACCTTCCCCTGACAGATTCGAAGGGCGCCATCTTTCACGTGCTCCCTACAGGGAACATGTGGGCTCGCGGCAAGATGGCCTCGCATTTTCCAGCTGATTTTCTAGTGTCAGTGTTGGCTTTGCTTGGTCTCTCTCTTGTGTTTACATAAAGGTATTAAAGGTCCTGGCCATTGTCCAGTGTGACTTAAATGGGCCTTTTATAGCATCAGGCTAGTTCCCTTGGCTCAGTGTCATAGCTTCTCAGTGCCAGAAGGACCTCCGAAGGCCATCTCTAGTCAACACCGTTAGTGCTGGAATCTTCTGTACCACCCCGTAGAGGCAGTCCTTACCCAGAAGCCACACGCCTGCGCCCTCTGGAGTTCCCAGCTGACCTTCTGAAAACAGCACCCCATGCCTCAGGCATCAAGGTCACCTGCCAACTCATATTCTCCCCTCAGCATGGCTCCACAGTGGTGCCCATCGAGTGCACGTGTCTTGGGGTCGGCCTGGGCTTCATTGCCCGGTGCCTGCAGCTCTGCAGGCATGCAGGGGCCACAAACGTGTTGCTTTTGTTCCAGTTGAATGTATAGGTTTTATGATGAGCTTCGTGTTTGTCAAAAACTCCCTGATCTTCCATGCCACTGACTAATTGAACCCTTTTCTTAGCTTCTTTGCGAGGGATGCAGGAGGTCCTACAGAGAAAGGCGCTTCTTGCATTTCAGAGGTGAGTGGGAGTTCATCTTTTCACTCGGCTGTTCATAATGACACCAAAGTATGATAAGTATAAAAAGAAGAGATATTTATAAAGATTATGTAAACAGTGTTTTCCCCCCAGGAGTCTTTCATCTTGTGCACTGAACATACAGTATCAAAACTTGTTGCCTGACTTGTTGCCGTGTAATCCGCACTCTTGCTCTATTTACCTACCTTTGGGCACGTGTTATTCATTCCTAATCAAATGATTTCAGCTCTAAGAAGATGGGTACTCTGGATGTCTAGGGAGCTGATTCCTTTTCTTAAAGGCAACTGTCCTCGCCCAGAAGAGGGATCATTCTTTGCTAGCTTTTGTTTTACATGTCATGCTGCAGATTTTTATATGACAGAATGAAAAAAGCCAGATTTTAGGACAGTTTCTGAAATGCTATATTATTAGTTTCTAAAACACTGGGTAATCTTTCTAAAATACTGGTTAATGGCAGGCGAGCAAATCTCAGGACCCTGCACGCCCACCGTGCTCCATAAACCTTGTGATTGTCTCCGTCATTATGATCTTCGGGAAATTAGGAGAGGGCTTTATAATTAGAGAGTGCCTGAGGGCTCTTTCCCACTCCTCAAGCCTGATCCTCGGGCCAGTTAACACAGACAGAACAAGTGGTGCGTCTTCTGCAGGTAAGGGACCGAGATGCACAGGATGGAAAAACAGTTACCAGAGTCACACAGCTATTGAGGTCAGGATAGAATCACGGTCTCCTGACTCCCACTCAAGCTTTCCTTGTCCCTACTATACCATGCCACCCTAATTTTGTTTCTTACGGCAGGTGTAATAAATCACCCCAACAATCATTGCCTGCAAGCATAACCCCATGATGTCAAATCTTGAATGGGTATTGATCCTGCCACCTTGAATATATCTGAGTCGCACTGACTTCTTGGAGTTGTATTAGAAACTTAGTTACTTACCTAAAAATTTCATGAGGCCCTCTCCATACCTAATAACCTTCGTTCGATTTCTTTCCTTCGAACGGGGATTGCCTGCACATTTGTCACCATGCACACCTCCCTTTTCTCATGAAATCATCATCACTTGGCTTCAGTGACTGGAAGACTCTCGTCTCTGTTTCATTTTGTTTCCTAGCAGGCTTGCTGATGGCTTCTTCACTTTGCCAGTCCCGCCTCGACTGGCTAATGGCACAAAGTACCAGTTGACATCTGCCAACAGACCTTCTGTCTCTGTGCTAAGCTTTTGTTAACGTTCTCCAGCATGGAGTGTAGAAGCATTTCCATTTCAAATGATTTGGAGTTTTATGTCCTCTAGTCCTAGTTTGTCAAACCCACACATGGATGCCTACGAAAGTGGTCATCACATCTGTTTCACTTTTCTTAAATCAGCACATCTTACCAGCTCTCTAAAAACAGCCATGGTGGTGGTCTGCCTTGAGCTGCCAGAATTCGTAACTTCATGTTACATAACAGCCATTCCATTGGCCTGAAATTCCTTTCTGTTCCTTTTTTACTTAGGTTTCAATTCATAGAGGTTTTTAAAAAAATATTAGTTCGTGGGAATAAAGAGTAATGAAATCCTGCTTACCTACATGACCATCTTGAGGAAGGCTAACCTAAATTAGTATTTATGGGAAATAAATAATATTTTTCAAAGGAATAAAATTATTTTGTTTCAAATACATTCATTAACTGGAACTATTCTGGTACACTGTAGACATAAATCTATAACGGAATGATTTGAAGTAAGTAAGAATGATCTGTATTATTTCTTAAATGTAAGCAGGTATTTAAAAACCACTTGGTGGAGAAGTACGTATTTGCTGTGCATTGTAAATCTTCTCCCCACAATTCTATTAGGTCTACTATCGTTTGACTATTTTTTGTTTAAAGAGAAAGCGGTGTGACTCAGAAAGAATGAGGTGGGGGCCCCTGGCTGGCTCATTCTGGGGGGGCATGGGACTCTTGATCTCGGAGCCCCACATTGGGCATGAAGCCTGCTTTAAAAAGGGAAAGGGATGGGGTTATAGTTACAGCACGTGAAAATTAACTCAATTATCACTGAAGTCAGAACTCGGAAAGATTTGCTCTCTAGTGGACCCAAAGAGGCGATTTTTTAAAACATACCAGATGCATGATCACGTCTTAACCCTGAGACCCCCCAGCTGTGCGCTGACTCATCACTCAGCCCAGCAACTGAACCAGCTCATTTGCCTGGTACAGAAGTGTCACAAAGAAAAACTGCTATCTGCAAAGCTTTCTGAAGGTGTACAGCTGATCTGAAGGGCTCTCACATCCTCCAGAGAAAAACAAGCCTGCAAAGAGTAGAAAGCATGTTTCAGGAACTCCACCCCCATCGCCTGACCATGTGCAGAAGTCTAGGTTGCTCCACAAAGAGGAGGGGACATGGTGTCATTCGCGTTTGCCATACAAAGTAGATGGATCTCATTCTTTTTTCTCTCTCCCTCTGAGCTTAAGTTTAAGTTAATGTGGTATGTTTTGTGGGCGTGGAGTGACCAACTATCCCGGTTTGCCAGGAACCGGGCAGTTTCCCAGAATGTGGGCCTTTCCATGCTAAAACCAGGACAGTCCTAGGCAAACTGGGACAAGTTGGTCATCCTATATGTGTAACTCCTGAGTAATAGCTTTCATCAGGTTTATATATTTTTTTTTCTTAATAATACACTGATGTCATGCCCACTAGAATCAGGACCTCAAAAACTGACAACAAGACAGCAGAGTGATGTGGTAGGGAGGCCAGGCCTCCGGATTTTGCTTCTGGCTTTACCTCTTCAGCTGGATGCTCTTATTCAGGATGGTTAATAGTAGATGCTTTATAAACTGTAGTTATTACTTGTAGATATTACAAGGTATGTGTCTTATGGGCCAGGATCAAATTGGCCAGTCTTCTCTATATTCTTGGTTCAGTTCTAGAGGATTGTGGAACCAGAGTCTAGGGAAGCACTGGTGTGACCTGAGTGCATGTCGAGTTTTAGCTGGGTGGTCTGGGAGGCCAGTCCATGCTTTTCAATAACTGCCTGGCATACCTCTCTCAGGGCGTATTCCCACTGCACTGTAATAATCACTTTGGGTCTCCCCATCTGTGGGATGGGGGGAGCTCCTGAAGGAAGGGCACTTGAATTATTCTTTCATCTTCAGCCTCCCCAGTGGCTGGAGAAAGTACTGGCATCACAGTACGTACTGCATAATGTGTTGGTTGGATGGATGGGTAGATGAATGCGTGACTAGGGTGGATGGTTGGATTAGTGGTAGGTGGATGGATAGATGGTTGGGTGGATGGTTGAGTGGATGGATAGGTGGATGAGTGGATGGATGGATGGATAAGTGGATGAGTAGATGGATGGATGGGTGGATGGGTGACTTGGGCAGGTGGATAGATGAGTAGATGGGTGGGCAGATGGTTGGATGGTGAATAAGTGGATGGGTGAGTGCCTAGGGTAGATAGATGGATGAAGAATGAATGGACAGATGGATAGATGGATGGAGGGATAGATGGATGGATGGGTTACTTGGGTAGGTGAATGAATGGGAGTAAGTGGATGGATAGATGGGCAACGTCAGCAAGCCAGCAATCTAATAATTCTTTCTTTCCTTATAGAAGAGAAATTGACTTAATGGATATGGAGGTGCTTTGACAAGGGAAGTGCTTTTGTGAGTGTCCCTGTGGTGCCATTTTTAGGTCTCTGGCTTTCTCCTAGCAGCTTCACCAGGTCCTTACTGTATGGGAATAGGCTTTATGAGGCTGCTTCAAATCCATGTGCAGAGGGGCACCAGGGTGCCTCAGTCAGTTCGACATCCAACTCTTGATCTCAGTTCAGGTCTGGATCTCAAGGTCATGAGTTCAAGTCCCCATGGGGCTCCATGCTTGGTGTAGAGCCTACATTTAAAAAAAAAAAAATCCATGTGCAGAGTCCAGCAGGCTTGTAGTTTTCAAGATTACTAATGTCCTTCCTCTTGCCTGCATCAACATGCCGATTTCTGCTGAGCAGATTTCTGGGGACATGGCTTTGCCACGGGAAGCATGGCTGCTGAAGCTGTTCTGCCTGACTGAAGCAAGTTTTCTGGAGTCTACATGACCTCATCACTGTGCACTTTTTCTTGCTTTCTTGGACATTCTCCTTTATCTCTTTGTTGTTCTCATAGGCTAAAGTGGTCAGTTTAATTCATTAGCCAAATTACTGAAGTGAAATTTTTCAAATGTGAATGTTTAAGTTGTGTCTCCTAGAAACTTGGCAGTTGGATATCCATTATTAGTCAAGTTGGCAGTTCTTCAGTTTGCGCTGATGCACCATGGAAGGCTGAGATTTCTATCCCTTCTGGTTGGTTCCTTTCACAGTCAGTGCTGTGGCTAGCAGTTAGTCATTATTTGATGAGGCCAGAGTGGGGCCTTTGGTTAGGACTATCTTTGCCCACTCCCCGAACTCACTGGGCCATTGCCAGCTTCTCCCTTGGTTGGTGTTGGGCAGAGGCAGCCATGATTTGACTTAACTTCTTTTGTGAAAACTCTAGATTGGGCTGAGAAAATTATAGCTCTGAGAAATTTTTTTTTTTTGAAGTGGTAGAAACCTGGCTTTATCAATTGTGAAAGAAGATAAGATAAATAATGCTAAATAATTCAGAGTCTCTTCATAATTAATTTTGTAGTCATTTTTCCTGAGTAATTGGGAGAGACAGAAACCATGATATTCCAATCTCACTTTTTATGAATACTGAAGAAAAAAAAATTCTTTGATGTATAAATTCATGGAAAACCAATACTTGTAAAATAAAAAAAGAAAAACTGGAGCCCACAGAGCAGACCTCACATAGCAATAAGTCATTTAAAAAGGCGACACAGGCAACTACTCAGTCACCACCTCTTAAACTAAGATTGTGTCCTGAGGCAAGGTCACCACTGAAGACTCCCCAGGAATGGGAGTTTAGGTGCTTTGCTGTTGAGATTAACAAAAGGACAGAGCCCGCACCACCACCTCCCCCGCCCGCCACCCCGGGCCCCACCATGACACTTTTCCCCACAATTTGGTAGCATGGAGCTACCACATTTGCCTAAGCAATGCCCTAATTGTTGAACTTTGTGTATTTTCTGGAAGCCAAATACCTGGAAGACTTTTGAGCCTCTCCATAGCAGGATGGATGGTTTCGGTAAAAGGCTTTATTACTACAGAAAAACCATCCTTGGCATGTTTGATGCAGTTGAATCCATAATGATTTGGCTTCCTTTTTTATCTCAAATTTGTTTTCTGCTGGTGGAAGATCCTCCTTAGTCACTGAGTGTTGACAGAAGAGCATGAAGGGTTGTTTACCATCTGCCCCCCATTGGTAATTAGTCTGCCCCATAGTGCCTTTTAAAGAAAGTAAAAGTTCGTTTTTCTCTTCCTCCCCAATTTTTAAATGCAGAATTATGTCTTGTATATAGTCACATGTTGAGTTACTCCGGGTGGAGTACAGTCGACTTCCACATAAAAGCGAGGATGACTGTTTGCTGTCAGGTAGGAGGCCGGTACAGCCTCTCCCCATCCGCTGTCAGAGGCCAATTAATAAAACCACGCCTGGTGCCCGGCCACAGAGCCCTGCATGTCACAGTTACACAGTTTACATTAGTAAACTACGTGGAACTTAGTAAAAGCTTCAAAAGACTGAATGAGAACCCTTCTTTTCTTCCCGTGGTTCATCAAAAACCAAAACCTTATTTTACAAGCAAAGCCAGGTCTTTGATTTTCATATGGTTTCTCTGAAATCCAGGCATTTGGATGAAGTAGCATTAAGGCCAACCCAAAACTTAACCAAAGCAGCCGTCGCTTTGCCAAGGACACTCGTAACCTCCCCATGTCCCAGCATGACACGTGGGCCTCTCCTGCTTAGCCCAAGGGGAGGCGTCTGCTGGGGGTGGGGGGGTCAGACCCCAGCGCCCGGAGGTCCTTCCCTTCGGGTTCCTCCTCGGAGCCAACAATCACGGGCTGCCACTTCAGATGCCAGAGAAGACACAGAAGCACGCTCCTGTGTCCTACCTGCACACAGTCCTGACAGGGAACATGCGTTACATTTGTGGGTGGACCAGAGAGAAGAGTTTAAGTGAAACATCACGTAGTTAAATACGTGGCTTTGGTGTGAAACAGCAACTGTGAATACCCGTTGGCTAGGAAAGGCAGGATGGCCTCTCCCGTGTACTAATGGCCACCAATACTTTTTCAGGGCCCACAGCCTGTCACCTACAGATCACCAAGCAGCTTTCTACCTGGCTCTGCAGCTGGCCATCTCCAGACAGGTCAGTTTCTCCCATGTTCCCTAAACCCGGGGCGCGCTCCGTCTGCATACAGTTCCTTCAGCGCCTCCGTGTGAGGCCGTAGCTGGTCTTCCCTCGTTCACCTGAGGCGGACCTGGAGCCGGAGTCTCTTCTGAGAGGATGCTGACCCCTCACAGCACAGCCACGGGTGTTTCAGTCAGTTTGAGCCCCTGCTGGAAAGATGCAGGTGTCACAGGCTCTGCTTTGGGAGAGGAAGTCCCAGCTCTGGAGGGTTCAGAGGGCAGCACGAGATGCAGCTCATGGCATGTGCCCTGAGCCCAGGAGTCACCAAGGAGCCTTTGTTGCTTGCTGGCAGGCCCAGCGCTGAGCTGCCTGGTGGGGAATGAGCCACTGGTTGTCACGACGAAGATGCCAGCCGGCAGGGGCGAGAGTTACCTGCTTCCTTTATAACATGTAGAAGATAGGGACAATCACAGTAGCTCCCTCCTCCAAATGTGGGACTTGGCAGCATGCTTCTTGCTGGAGAGGCAAGCTCTGCTGGCCTTCATCTTCTCAATGGCAGCTTCCAGAAGCTGCCTTGGCCACGCTCACCCCCTCCCGTCCCCTCCCAGCTGCTCTGAGGCTCTGGCCTCATGCCTGCCTGCCCACCAGGTGCAGGACACTGGTGGTAACCCCAGCACATTCCTGAGTGCTGACTGGAGGGTGAAGCAAAGGTCAGTTCCCCAGACATGCCATTCCCGGGGCAGGCCTGGGCCGTAGGCATGCCTCTGACTCCCCGCACGCCTGGGAATGGTGTGGAGGAATGGCTTCCAGTGGTGACCAAGATGACTCCTCCATACAGGCCCTGTCGCCTGGCGTGGTGGGGCTCACAGCTGTACCGATGGGGAGCTGCTAGGCAGCAGCTGGGCGCTGGTCCCCCCCTCCCCTGGGAGCTCTTCTCACCTGTGCAAAGCCTCCTTCCAGCGGCCTGCACTTCTCCCTCCTCCTGCTCAGCTCTTCTGTTCGGGATCTGTCCTCCTCCCCAGACTAGGTTCCATGAGAACAGAGGCCCTTGTCCGTCGTCCTCATCGCTTCACCCCAGCAGCTGGAACACTGCCCGACATGTGTTAGGCACCCAGTAATGCTCGTCCCGTGAAGGAACCAGCTTTGAGTTCCTTCAAGTCATCTAGCCCTCAGGGCATCATGTTGTACCATAAAGCAGTTTGCCCCTGCTTGTTCTGGTCATACCTGCAAATCACCACCATGAGTAGACCTGCCTTTCCGCCCTCCTTGTAAGCGCAGGCTGGGTGCCGTCCACACGTTGGGTGTTCGCCCTGAGGAGAGGATAAGTGGATGAGGCCTCGTGGGTGCAGCTGCCACCTTTGTGGTCCCACATCCTAAGGCCCACACTCTGTGGGACGGTGTCCCTGCTGGACAGGGGCCCAGGGCTGTAGCCCTCTTGTCTTTAGAGCCAATGCCATTTGAGCAGGAGGAGAGGACAGGAGGGGAATCGGAAGGTCTAGTGCCACTCTTGTCCTAGTCAGTCAGTAGCTAAATGGCAGCACTCAAGCCATGTCACCTCCCTGGACTGGGCTCCATCCCTATAAATGAAGGGCTGGGCTGTGACAGCCCTGAGGCTGTGGCTCGGTGGTAGAAAGGCTCTGTAGCCAGCATTTATAACTTAAATCCGTCAAAAATAGGATATCAGAGAGGAGAGTGAAGAGGTTTGGGAAGCCGTGGCTTCTTCCTGTAGGAGTGAGGAGACCGAGGACTGAGAAGAGGCAGGAAAGCTGAGAAGAGGTCCGGCATGGACGAGCTGGAGGAGAGGGGCAGACAGGAAGAAGTCCCTGGGGAGGTTGTGTAAGAATGCTTCAGTCCCGAGCTCTATTTCGAAATCCAGTGTCAGATTCTAATTCTTCCTGGTCACTGTTAAACCTGCATGGAATCTCGGGTGTTCAAATATCCATTATGTGTGCATTTTATCTACCCTGGTGCTTGGGTGATTTTGAAGGAAGTCTTGAACAGCTCTTGCATTTTCAAGGTTAAGCCCATCTCCCATCCTATTTGAATTTGGATACATCTGCTTTGTATGTGGCATTGCAATTTGTTTCTCAGATGGAGCTATTTGGGGTTGTAGTTTGGAAAGGTGTGGGGTTTTTGTTTGTTTGTTTGTTTGCATATTTCCTTGATGTCTAATGGAGGTGTCCTGGACTAAGGAACTTGGAAAGACTCACAGGTGTCTGATCGTCTGGAAAACTCTGTTTAAGTTTTGCAACTCACTGTGTACTTCAGTTGGGTGAGACCTTAAAAAACGAGAACGGTTCAGCTAAGGTAGTTTAATTCCACTAAGAACCTCTGGCAACTTGTATGTCTGTCCATTGAGAGTGAAATTATCTTGGGCACAATCAAGAGTACATCACCTTTGCAGAAAAGAGAAATTGTGTTTTAGAGAGAAACAAAAGATTTGGGACTGTCAGTCTTACAGAGAAACAGAGCCTCTTGCCTCACTCCCTGGGTCACACCATCGCTTCAAGAGGACATCTGCTTGCATGTCTGTGGTTAATATCCCGGGGCGATCACAGAGATTAGAATCTGAGTGTGGCACAGGGTGAAGCAACTTTTGATATTTACAGAGAATCAGATATTGAAGTGGCAGCTTCGTGTGTCTGTGTGTGTGCGCGTGCGCACATACACGCGTGTTTTAAAATTCTTTTTGATTTTGTTTTAAACCAGATCCCAGAGGCTCTGGGGTACGTCCGCCAAGCTCTTCAACTTCAAGGTGATGATGCCAACTCCCTGCACCTCCTTGCCCTCCTCCTGTCTGCACAAAAGCATTACCACGATGCTCTGAATATCATTGACATGGCCCTCAGTGAATATCCGGAGAATTTTATGTAAGTGCTCCTGGCCTTTCGTTTTTCCATACTCAGAAAGTTACTCACTTTGACTCCTCCCCCCTTCCTTCATTCTATTTCATTTAAGTCCTTCGTGGATATCCTGAGGATAAATAGTACAAACTTCCCTTATTCTTATTTCTCCATGATATTTGGAAATAGGCATAGCCTGTTAGGTCACCCTTATTTATTATCTATTTAGTTAATAGATCTTATTTAGTTTAAAAATACCTTATTGGGTCTTTTCTAGTGTGTACCTTTGGTGCACACAAGATGATTTTAGGTGGATGGTGGATGAACATTTTTACTGTAATCGTTTTACATTTTTAAGTAGAAAAAAAAATCTACTGCCTATCAAAGTGTGATTTCACAGAAATTATTGGTCAGGGGGAGATGACAGATCTTTTAAATGAGTCGTCTTAAAGTCAGTTTGAAGAAAATAGTGAGTAAATGCTACTGCAGATATGCCCAGCTGCTGTAGCAGTTAGACCGAACAGGCCCAAAGACAAGCCTGGGAAACACGCTCCATGGCTGGTTTGTCCTCGTTACCAGCACCTTCTGCTAATTCCAGGGGCTGTCATATTTTAGGCAACTTCCACCAAGGTACCTGACCTCTCTATGCCTTGGTTCATTCTCTAGGAACTAGAATTCCTTAAATAAATCAGTTCGTCTCTGTACCCAACTGAAGAATTGCCATCATAAGCTGCCGTAGGCATGACTGTCTGCTTATCTTCCCGACATTCCTCCAAATCCCAGAATCCAGGCCTGTCGGGGAGGCTTTGTGGAGAAGGGCATTGTCATGTGGGCGCTCAGTTCCCATTTTATCCGCAGTGGAGTAGCCTGGTAACCAGGACACAGCAGCCAGAAACAGTAAACACCGCGCACACTGGCAGGTTCTAATTGTCTAAGTGGCAGGGTCAGTGGTGGCTGGGGGGCGGTGGGGGCGGTGGGGGGGATGTGGGCGGGGGGCTCGGGGCAGCTCTCATCACTTGGGGAAATCAGCGCCATCAGCACCATGGTGAATTTTAAGTGGATCGACTTTGGCTTTATTTCTCTGCCTCATCACCTCACTGTCTTTAATCAGTGTGTTTCAGCAGCTCGCCTTGGAAAATTGGTTCACACATTTCCATTACAGACATTTCTTTGTCTTCAAGTGAAAAGGGCACTTCTCTTCTCCCCATCGAGAAAATTCTCATTATAATCCAGGCAACCTCTGACTAGAGATTTCTTTTGTAGGTTCAGCTATCTGTGCCAAGTGCACTAAAGAGCCTTGTTTCAGGGTTTTGCTTCGTGCCGGCCTCACACTTGGCTCTGTTGCACACCGAGTGTGTTTCTGAGTTTCCTGCAAAGCTGATTAGCCCCGGGGATCTTCAGGCAGTCAGTGCACTTTAAAGAGGACTCAGTCCTTTCCCCATCAGTAAGGGACAATCTTGATGCAACTGAAGTCAGTTTCTCTCATCAATATTTATAAAGCGGCGTTCCCTGCCTCCCACCCCTAACACCTTCATTAGACAGTAGACTCCAGCATGCATCTCCTGTGTAGACAGCCCAGGGTGTCATCCGAGAGGAGGCTTATTAAACTAATAGCCACACCATGCAGTGAGCAGTAAACAGTGGTGGCTAATATGGTAATGCTTCCAAGTGACAGCAGCTGACAGCCTTTTCAAGTAGAATAAGTAAGGAACAGCAGTAGAGATATTTGAGGAATGCGAGCCTGTTATTTTAACGTTAAGCTGTAAGCTCAAAAAAGCAAAGCATATGGCAGCAGGTCTGAGAGCAGCCGATGACTTGTTTGCTTTTTAAATATTTGTATTTCTTCCTATGTGATGGGAAACTTCTTCCCAAGAATACTTTATTAAAAGTTGGGGCCAGATGTAGTTGGTGGATCCCGTGGTTTCCTTCCAAACCCAGGGTAAAACATTTCAACACCAACCGAAACAAGATTATGTGGGCACCTGTCCCGAATCCCGGGCAGTAGTATCTGGTTGTTTGTGACAAGCCTGTCTCCCGCAGAACCGTAGACTCTCGGAAGCCCGGGAGGGCCTCATGCTTCTTGCGTCCCATCAGCCAGACGTAGGCTGAGGGCATGGCTGGTGTTTCCTCCACCCCTGCGGGCTGGAAGTAAAGGGCCTCACCACAGTTGGGCTGAGCCCTGTTTAACTGTTGGTCAGTTCGACTGTTGAACAGAGAATGGATTTCACTAGCCTCTTCACCTGATGCCGAGAATCGCAGACATACTGGTCCCTGTTAGGTGCACTCAAGGTACTTAAACACCTGCCCCTCCAAGGACCTTGAGCTGTGTGAGCTACTGCATTTAAGACATCTGTAATGGTAATCACTCAGTACCTGGTAGGAATTCATATGATCAGGATGACTGGTACTTCTCCAGTGTTCCTCAAATACTATATTTTAGAATTCTTCAAAGTTGTTGTTATTAAATATTGAGTAAAAGTCAAAGGATACTTATTAAATATACTTAAAAAAAATACGACTAACATGTATAACCACTTCTTAGTTTAAGAAAAAGAAGATTAATATTACCTATGAATTTCCTGTGCGCCCCTGTCTGTCCTTTCCCCTTACTGTCTAACATCTCTGGATGTTAACCGCATCCTGAATTGCAGGCAGAGCATTCCCTTGGGGGAATATATGTATATATTCCCCTATATGCCATATATGTTCACACTCCCAAATAATAAAATTTTTATAAAAATTTCTAGTTTTGCATATTTGAAAAATTTTATAAAAATTTCTAGTTTTGCTATTTGAAAAATTTTCAGCGGCCTTGTACTGAATATATCCTTATACTGCTTGCTTCCGTTGCTTAACATCACATTCCTGGGGTTCGTCCTTACTGCATGCAGCAACAATTTATTCCTTTACGCCCATATGTAGTATTTTTTTATATAAATATACCATGATGTGTTTTTCCAGGCTGTTGGAAGTGGCTATACAGGTGTTTGAAGTTTTCAGCTATTAGAAACAACGCTGCTGTAGATATCCCTGTACGTGTCTCCTGGCACACAGGTGCACGTACTTCTCTGGGGATTACCTGGGAGTGAGATGGTTGGGTCATAGGATATGAGCCTCTTCCATTTCACCAAATAATTCCAAACCATTTTCCAAGGAGGCTGTGCCACTGTACGCTCCCAGCGGCAGCACCTGAGAGCACGTGGGGCCACACATACCGATGCTCCCTCACATTTCAGACTTATTCTTGGCCGCGTGGTTGCTGGTTCATGGCGTCACATTGTGAGTTTAAGTGGCATGATGAGGTTGAACACTTCTGTCTCTGTTTATTGGTCATTTAGCTTTCCTGTTCTGTGAAGCACACGGAGAAGTCTTTCCTCTTTGCTAACTGGGTTGACTTTTTCATGCCAACTCGTGAAATTTCTTTATATATTATGGCTGTAAGGCCCTTTGTTGCTTACATGTGTTCCAGAACTCTTCTCCTCATCTGTGACTTGTTTTCTGATGAATGGAAGTTCTTGTTTTTAAAGTAGTTGAATTTATCAACCATTTCCTTCATGGATTGTACTTTCTGCGTCTAGTTTATTCCCTTCCCTTCTCCGGGGTCATGAAGACAGTCTCCTAAGTTATATTCTAAGAGCGCTTTGTGTTACCTTTCACACTTAAATCTAAGGGTCCATCTAGAAATGATTGTTATGTCTGTATGGTGTGACGGATTCAGGGTGGTGTTCCCACATGTGGATACCCAGTTGTCCCCATGTCATGTACTGAAAAGCTCCCTTTCCCTGTGGCTCCACATGCTACTTTGTCTTAAATCAGATGCCCATATGTGGGTGAGGGAGCCGGTGGGGAACTATTTCTGACCTTTCTACTTGGTTCTTTCAGTCAGGGTGCCCATCTCTGTGTGATTACCACTTTATTATTATTATCATCATCATTATTATTATTACTATTATTATTACAACTTTATTATATGTGAAGTATGTCCATCCCTGTATCTTACTCTTCAAGAGTGTTGTGGCCATTTCAGGCCTTTGAGTTTGCATGTAAGTTTTTGAATCAAGTTTGTCAAGTTCAACAACAACAACAAAGTCTATTGGGATGACATTTAATCTAATAGCTTGGGAAGAATTCTATATTTGTGACAGTGGGTTTTCTAAACCATGGCCATTATATCTATTTAGGTTTTTAAAGATACTTTTTAATGAAGTCTTACAATTTTTCATATAAATATTTTGCCCGTTTTTTACTAGATTTATTCCTAGTTACCCAAAAAAATTTTCATTTGATACACTGTATGTATACAGTTTTTTTTTTTATCAGATTTACTATCTACATGTTGCTAGTGTGTATAGAAAGGCAGCTGATTTATGTACATTCTTCTTGACCTAATAACTCAGCTAAACTCTTGTTAATTCTAACAATTTATGTGTAGATTAGTTTGGACTTCCTACACAGACAACTTTTTTCTGAAATAATAAAATTTAGTTTCTTTATCTCTAATCCTTCAACTTTTTAAAACTGGCCTTACCAGATTATGTAGGACCTTCAACTCCTGGTTTGCTAAGAGTTGATCTTTTTCAATCATGAAGTGATACTGAATTTTATCAAATGCTTCTTCTGTATTTGTTGAGATGATTATATGGTTTTGCTCCTTTAACCTGGGATGTTACATTACTTGATTTTTTTTAATAAAAGATTTTATTTATTTATCTGAAAGAGATCACAAGTAGGCAGAGAGGCAGGCAGAGAGAGAAGGGAAGCGGTCTCCCCGCTAAGCAGAGAGCCCAATGTGGGGCTCGATCCCAGGACCCCGGGATCATGACCTGAGCTGAAGGCAGAGGATTTAACCCACTGAGCCACCCAGACATCCCCTTATTACTTGATATTTTTAAATGTTAAATTAATCTTGCATTCCCAGAATAAGCTCAACTTGATCATGACATACTAAGCTTTTTTTAATAGATTCGGTTTACTAATTTTTAAGGAACATATATATTTGTTCATATGTGAAATAACATGCGATTTTC